GGGTTGCCTCCAAACCTGAACAGCTCATTTCTCTCATTCAGTCAGAACACATTCACTGGGTGCTTACTTTGAGCCACCCCTGCTTGTGCTCTCTCTGTCTCTCAAAAAAAAAAAAAAAAAAAAAATGAGTAAATGTTAAATTTAAAAAAATAAATAAATAAATGAAGACCCTTAGGCTTTGCCCTGCAACAATTCTGAATTGGTGGGTCTAAGCTAGACCCCAGGAGCCTACGTTTTATTTTTTATTTATTTTATTTTCAACGTTTATTTATTTTTGGGACAGAGAGAGACAGAGCATGAACGGGGGAGGGGCAGAGAGAGAGGGAGACACAGAATCGGAAACAGGCTCCAGGCTCCGAGCCGTCAGCCCAGAGCCCGACGCGGGGCTCGAACTCACAGACCACGAGATCGTGACCTGGCTGAAGTCGGACGCTTAACCGACTGCGCCACCCAGGCGCCCCGAGCCTACGTTTTAAACAAGCTTCCCAGGTGATTCTGAAACAGGGAGTCCACAAATCACATGTTGAGCAAAAGTAATGCTAGAGAAGCAGATAGCGATGTAATCTGGCAAATGCCACAACGTGTAGACAGAGTCTGCTGGGGACACAGAGAAGGGATATCTAACCAGATAACCAGACCGGAGGATAGAGTGGACAAGGCTTCCCAGAAGGTAGGCCTCCAGACAAATAGAAGTTGACAAGACGGAGAGGGGAGCAGAGGATCCAGACGGAGGGTGTAGCACCATCCACAAAGGCAAGAGGGCACGAAAGTGCACACAGGTTGTGTGGGATGCTGGAGAAAAGTGTGGGGGAGGGTCAGAAAGGAAGGACCTGGAATACTGAAAGCTAACTTTATCCTAAAAGCTCTGGGGAATGTGGAAACTTTCTAAGCAGGAGAATGAAGGGATCAGATGTGCATTGTAGGCAAATCCCTCTGGCAGCAATGCCTTGAGGGTGCAGGACTGAAGAGAGGGATGCCTTGGGGAAGAAGTGGTAGGTCGGTCTCTGAGGAGACGGTAGCCCAGGGCCGAGAGGAGGGAGCAGACACAGGAGGAGCTGAGAGGGCCCAAGGATGACGCTAAGGGTTCTGGACTGGGAGGCCAGTTGGCGTCATTTCCAAAGACAAAGCACACACAGAGAGAGGGACGGGGTCGGGGAGGGCCAGAGAAGACTAGAAGAGGCACGACAGGGAGAGGGGCCGCGAAGAGCGTTCCTTTCTGGTGTAACTGTCACTGCCCTGCTCTACCCCTTGCCGTGTGATCTGAATTCTTCCTTAACCCCACCGTGCCTTGGCTGTCTCCTCTATAAGATACAGATCCTAATAGTATCTACCTTATAGGGTTGTTGTGATAATTAAATGAATTGACACGTACAAGGTGCTTAACAAAAGTGCCTCACACGTTTAAGACTCAATCGATGTTAGCTATTATTTATGGCCAGATTCCTAACTGGTTGCGGTACATTGGGTCATTGCTCCCAATGCTTCGGTCTCTGTTTTAGAATCAAACATCCGTGTCCTTGGCTAAACGACTTTGCGGCACCTCCCGCTAGCACAGAGTACGTTCGTTCTCCTGTTCGGCATCCGTGACTCGCTCTGACCCGTGCAGTGTCAGTGACACTGTGACACAAGCAGAGGCTCTAAATATGCCGGTGAGATCGGGCTTGCTCTTTTATGCGTGTGCAATTCACCAGTCACGACCTTGTTGGCCACCGGTTCTGGAACGATGAACACCAGAGAGCAGACCCCTGGACGCGCAACCTCAGTTGGGGGAGGGGAGGGCACCCAACCCACAGGCTTGTGAGCAACAAAATAAATGAGATACGAATGCTGTCATTACAGAGCATTATTGCAGCAACTGCTAATTAATCCACTGATACAGGAAAACACTTCTGGCCAATTTTTTAACACTTACTCAGAGACCATGATGTCTCGCACTAGGCTGCTCAAAGGACACAGCACAAGGTGCCCAGGTACTTTAGGTTTCTGACAATACGTCAGGCCTTCTCAGCCTTTGTTAAAAGCAATCACCGGGGCGCCTGGGTGGTTCAGTCGGTTAAGCGTCGGACGTCAGCTCAGGTCATGATGTCGCAGTCCTGTGAGTTCAAGCCCCGTGTCAGGCTCTGTGCTGACAGCTCCGAGCCTGGAGCCTGCTTTGGCTTATGTGTCTCCCTCTCTCTCTCTCTGTCTCTTAAAAATAAACACTAGAAAACGTTTTTTTTTTTTTTTAAAAAGCAATCGTTATAAAGGTTTCCCAACTTGCAGTCACTGAGAGGTTACTTTGGGTGCCTTCACGTCCACCAGAAGAGAGGTACTGAGCCGGAAAAGTGGCAGGTGGGCAGCCCACTTCTGCTTACGCCCTTCCTTCCCCTTGGCCAAGCTCAACTCATGGCCCTGACCACAGGCTTGAAACACAGAAGTGGGCCCAACTTGACCTCCAAACGTCCTAAGAGCAGCAGCGTCTGCAAGGCCATTCGCTGTGTGGAAAGGACCCACAGGAGCCAGCAGACCTTCTTTCCCTTTATCTGTGAGTGTTTGGGTCTTTGTCCGTCCCTCAGGTGTACCTGATAACCCTGCTTTAGTCTAGACAGCAGAGTGGAGAGAGCACTGGGTCAGGAGTCAAAAAAAAAAAAAAGTTCTGCTGACTGCTTGTGTGACATTGAGTAAATCACTTAAACTGGCTGCCTCTCTGTTTTCCGTCTGTAAAATGGGGATGATAGGACCTGCCCCCAGGTATCACCTAGTTGTCATAAGGATAAAATGAAAATATGCTCTCAAAACTGTAAAATGAGGGGCCCCTGGCCGGCTCAGTTGGTAAAACGTGAGACTCTTGATCTTGAGGTCACGCGTTCGAGCCCCGTGTTGAGGGTGGAGATAACTTAAAAATTAAAAAGAATTTTAAAAGGTACATATTTATTTAAAAAACTATAAAATGGGGCGCCTGGTGGCTCAGTCGGTTAAGCACCAGACTTTGGCTCAGGTCATGATCTCACGGATTGTGAGTTTGAGTCCCGCGTGAGGCTCTGTGCTGACAGCTCGGAGCCTGGAGCTTGCTTCAGATTCCGTGTCTCCCTCTCTCTCTGCCCCTCCCCTGCTCTCTCTCTCTCTCTCAAAAATACATAAAGATTAAACATTTTTTTAAAACTGTAAAATGAAGTATAAGTAATACATCCTAGCACCAGGAGCTTCAATGTGGGGGCTCGGAGAGTAGGAGCAGGAAGAACAATACGGAAATGGCGTCCCCTTCTGTGCATCTCACGAACTGCCCCACACCACCAGGAGCAGGCTTCGTGCCCAGCGGGGAGTCCGAGGCTCAGGCATCGCCAGGTTTCCTCCTACTTCATGTTCTCTTTATCAGTTGCTTTATGAGTTTCCTCCTTGTTTAAATTCCCCACCCCTGTCTCTTCCCTCGAGTTTGACTTCAGTCTGAACACGGGATCGTCACAGCCACTTAGAATTCTGCCCCTGAGCCCTCATCATTTCTTTTCTTTCTTTTAAAGTTTATTTCTCTATTTTGAGAGAGAGAGAGAGAGAATCCCAAGCAGGGGTCGGAGCTGTCAGCACAGAGCCCAGAGAGGGGCTCAAACGCACAAACCGGGAGATCATGACCTCAGGGGAAGTCAGATGCTTAACGGACCGAGCCACCCGGGCGCCCCAGCTCCGATCATTTTTTATCCCACTGCGGGGCTCCATTCCTCACTGTGGGCCTCTGCTGTTTAGGACATATTAAGTTCTAACAGAGTTCGTCTTTTCCTGTTTGGCTCATCAGTTAGTACTTGCTGAGAAATAAATATTTTTCACCTGCTCATCCACATATTCCGTGCTGTTCTCCAGACAGTGAATTACAAGCCCAAGGCGAGACTGTGAAGAGTTTGTCTTGAGGGTCCTTTCTGCACAGGGTTTTGTTGGTTTTCTTTTGTTTTTGTATTAAGCACCAAGAGCCAAGGACCGGGTGTTCCTGAAACCCTTCTTCCCATTATGCATAAGCCTCACGGTGCCCCAAGGCATCACAGTTCCATCTACTGGGACAAATTTGAGTAACTTTTTAAAAGTTATCTGCTACCTGATAGTATCTTAATGTGCTAACACACTTGTCTTTTAATAGCAATCTTTAAAATCTTGAGTCAAAGACTGGGGGTGGAGAGATTAAAAAAAAAAAAGAAAGAAAGAGAATGTCCACTTCCAATAAAAAGATTTGCCTAAAGAGATTATTACACGTTTACACAAAGAGCCTTACATTTACACAATGATAAAGTGTTCCCATTTTACTAAGAGCCTCACCGCCTGCTTGGAGGCCGCTTACGGAGCAGAGGGAGGCCCAGCAAGGTTTCGTATTCGCTCAGGTCTGTAGAACCAGGCCTGGGACTCAACTCTTCTGCTGTGCCCCCCATTTTTCTGAAGAGAGTATTTGATGAGGCAGAGGCTGCAAATACTGACTAAAAAGAGATATTGATAATTGAAAAGAATCGTTCACAGATTAAAATTTTCCTTCAATTACTATTATTTGGTATTACTGTTCACAGCAGTCATTAATACCCTCTTCTGCTCTCCAGAAGGTAGACTCCAGAGTGTAGAGGTTTTGCTGTGTTGATCGCTATGTTCCTGAAACCATGGCTGACCTTCCGTAAGTACTAATTGAAACAAGCAAACAAAAAAATGAATCAATATGAATAATAAAAAGGTGATGTTATCAATTATGCCTCAGTAAAGCTGAAAAAAAAGAATACACTGAGAAAAATCCACTGCCCTTATTTTTTTTAAGTGAAGTTATGGGGGCACCTGGGTGGCTCAGTAGGTTGAGCATCCGACTCTTGATTTCAGCTCACGTCATGCTCCTAGGGTCGTGGGGTCAAGCCCCGCATCAGGTTCTGAGCTAAGTGTGGAGCCTGCTTAAGATTCTCTCTCTCTCTCTCTCTCTCTCTCTCTCTCTGCCCCTCTCCCCTGCTCTCACACACATTCTCTCTAAAATAAGTAAACAGATAAAATAAAGTGAAGTTATGTTAGATTGGATTTGTTTTATTCTATGACTGGATAAAAAGTATATAGATTCATTACAGCTTTTTCAAATGAAACAGAAAAGTGAAAAAAACAAATGAACACGTCACACGCATTAGTTTGGCGTGCACGGAAGAGAGGCCATGGGAGGACAGGGTGAGAAAGTGGCCGTGTGCAAGCCCAGAGGAGGGCTCTCACCGGACGTCAATCCTGACGACACCTTGATCTTGGACTCCCAGCCTCCAGAGCTGTGAGAAAACAAAAAGTAAAGCCTCTCAGTCTATGGCATTTTGTGGCCACTGGAGCAGACTAATACAGGATACGCTTCTCCTGTATAGGTTCTCCTGAAATACAGGTGGCATTTCTCTTGGGTAAACACCTATGAGAGAGATTCCTTGGTCTTATGGTAGGTGTGTATTTAACTTGACAAGAAATTGCCAAACTGTGTTCCAGAGTCGCTGCATCATTTTGTGTTGACATCAGCTGTAGTTGCCCCACATCCTGGTCAATATTCGGTGTTACCTGGTGAGGCCTTTGCTTTTTTTGTTTTTTGTTTGTTTTAATTTTAGCTATCCTGGTGGGATATACTGGTATCTAATTATGGTACTATTTTACATTTTCCTTTTCTTTTTTAATTTTTTTTTTTTTTTTTTTTGAGAGACAGAGAGTGAGAGAGAGATCAAGTGGGAGAAAGGGCCAGAGGGAGAGACAGAGAGGGAGAGAGAGATCCTCAAGCAGGCTCCATAATGAGCAGGCCTCAATCCCACCATCCTGGGATCATGACCTAAGCCAAAATCAAGAGTCCAGTGCTCAGTCAACTGAGCCATCCAGGCACCCCTACATTTTCCTGATGATGGTAAGCATCTTTCAAGTGCCTACATGTTAATCATATGTCTTCTTTGATGAAGTATTTGTTCACATTTGTTTCCCTTTTTGTTATCAGGTTGTCTGTTTTGTTATTATTGAGGTGTTAAGGGGTCTTTATCTATCCTAGGTATAAGCATTTCATTCAGTATATGTTTTGCAAAGATTTTCTTCCAGTCTGTCTTGCCTTCATATTTTCTAAACATTGTCTTTCAAAGGGCCTAAGTTTTTTAGTTTTTATTTATGTATGTATGTATGTATGTATGTATGTATGTATGTATGTATGTAGGTATGTATGTATTTGTGTTTATTTTTGAGAGAGAGAGGGAGAGAGAGAGAGAGAGAAAGAGAGATGCGTGCGTGCATGAATAGGGGAGGGACAGAGAGAGAGGAAGACACAGAATCCGAAGCAGGCTCCAGGCTCTGAGCTGTCAGCACACAGCCCGATGCAGGGCTCAAACCCATGAACTGTAAGATCATGACCTGAACCGAAGTCGGATGCTTAACCGACTGAGCCACCCAGGCACCCTGTTAAGTTTTTATTTTTAATAAAGTCTAATTTATAAGGTTTTTCTGTTATGGTTCATGCTTTTTGGGTTCTAAGAAATCTTTACCTAAACAAAAATGACAAAGGTTTTCCCCTACATTTCTTTCAGAAGTTTTATAGTTTTTTGAAAGTTTATTTATTTTGAGAGAGACAGGGACAGAGCACACAAGCGGGGGAGGGGCAGAGAGAGAGGGAGAGAGAATCCCAAGCGGCCTCTGCACTCCTAGTGCAGAGCCCGATGTGGGACTCGAACCCACGCACTGTGAGGTCATGACCTGAGCTGAAATCAAGAGCCAGATGCTTAACCAATTCAGCCACCTAGGCACCCCAAAGTTGTTTTTTTTCTTTTAATTTTTTTTTTCAACGTTTTTTATTTATTTTTGGGACAGAGAGAGACAGAGCATGAACGGGGGAGGGGCAGAGAGAGGGAGACACAGAACGGAAACAGGCTCAGGCTCCAGGCCATCAGCCCAGAGCCTGACGCGGGGCTCGAACTCACGGACCGCGAGATCGTGACCTGGCTGAAGTCGGACGCTTAACCGACTGCGCCACCCAGGCAAAGTTTTATGATTTTTAACTTTTACATTGAGGCATATGATCCACTTTGAATTAATTACGGCATATGATGAGAGGTAAGAATTGAGTTCATGTTTTTCCACAAGGATATCCTATTATTCTAGCCACATTATTATTTTTTGTAAGTAATCTCTACACCCAACATAGGGCTCAAACTCACAGCCCCAAGATCAAGAGTTCCATGCTCTACTAACCGAACCACCCAGTCGCTCCTCTAGCAATATTGTTTACAAGACCATCCTTTTCTTCTTTGTCAAAAATGAATTGACATCATTGTATGTAAGTCTATTTCTGGACTCCCTATACTGTCCCATCCATATGCCTATCTTTACATCAACACCATGCTGTCTTAATTACTATAGCCTTACAGTAAATCTTGAAATCTGGTAAAGTTCTCCATTCCTATTCTTTCGTACATTTGTTTTGGCTGATCTAGATTCTTTCTATTTCTCCACAAATTTTAGAATAAACCCATCAATTTCTATTAAAAAAAAAACAAAAACAACAAACCCAAACAACCTACTGACATCGTGACCAAGACTATGTTAAATCTATAGATGATTTGGGGGAGAATTGACATAACAATAATGAGTTTCTATGCATAAACACGATACATCTAACCATTTATTTAAGTCTTCTATAATTTTTCTTGGAAATATTTTGTAATGTTCAATATTCGGTCTTTGCATTCAGTTTGTTAGATTTACCCCTAATATTTATTTTAATGTTACTACAGGGGCACAACGGTGGCTTAGTCTGTTGAGTGTTGGACTTCAGCTCAGGTCACGATCTCATGGTTCATGAGTTCGAGCCCTACATCAGGCTCACTGCCATCAGCCGGTTAGCACAGGGCCCGCTTTGGATCCTCTGTCCCCCTCTCTCTCCCCTCTCCCACTTGTGCTTTCCCCAAAATAAATAAGTATTTTTTAAAAATATTACTTCAAATGGCATTTTAAAAGCTTTTTATTTATTTATTTTTATTTTACATCTAAGTCAGTTAGCATACAGTGCAACAACGATTTCAGGAGTAGAACGCAGTGATTCATCCCCTATGTATAACACCCAGTGCTCATCTCAAGTGTCCTCTTTAATGCCCCTTGCCCATTTAGCCCATCCCTCCACCCACAACCCCTCCAGCAACCCTCAGTTTGTTCTCTGTATCTAAGAGTCTCTTACGTCTTGTCCCCCTCCCTGTTTTTATGTTATTTTTGCTTCCCTTCCCTTCTGTTCATCTGTTTTGTATCTTAAATTCCACATATGAGTGAAGTCATATGATGTTTGTCTTTCTCTGACTAATCTCACTTAGCATAATACCCTCTAGTTCCATCCACATTGTTGCAAATGGCAAGATTTCATTCTTTTTGATTGCAAAAACTTTTTATTTGAAATGGCCTGTTGCTAGTGTATAGAAATACCATTGTTTCTCTGAATCTTGCAACTAGAACTCATTAGTTCTAGTGGCTTTTTAAAATTTTTTTTTAACGTTCATTCATTTTTGGGGAGAGAGAGAGAGAAACAGAGCGTGAGTGGAGGAAGGGCAGAGAGATGTAGTACCTTTTTTGTGGATTCCTTAGGTTTTTTCACATACAACCCCATTTGTGAACGAGACAGTTGTGTTTCTTCCTTTCCAGTCTTCCTTGCCTTATTGCACTGACCAGCACCTCCAGAACAATGTGAAAGAGACATGATGAGGGTAGACATCTTTGTCTTGTTCCTTACCTTCGGAAGAATATATTCACCATTAAGTATGATGTTAGCTTTAGGCTTGTTTTCTGTATGCTTTGGTATCTTGTTAAATCCTGCTGTGACTCAGAACATGGTCACTGTAAATATCTCACATGTGAATGAAAAGAACATTATCT